TTTCATTTTTTTTTCATGCACAATTTGAGGGGGAGTTTTGTTTATCTACAAGAGTGCAAGTGCTTTTGAGCCCCATTCATTTTAAAAACAAAAGGGAAACTGGGCCCAACTCAAACCTTTGGGCCCAGGACATTTTCTCGCAAGGCCCAAACCCAATTTCTCGCATATAAAAGATGACTTCGAGAACTTCTTTTCGCATTATTCACTTTCTCGCATAAGCTTTCTCGAAGTCCAGAGTTCTCGAAGTTTAAAACGTTTTCTCGCAATCTTCTCGAATCAATCTTAAGGTAGAATTCAAGGTTTTTGATCATCAACAACATCAATAAAATGGTTTTCGCACACAATGGCAAGTTCTCGAATCCAAAACTTGAAAGAAATTTCTCGAAATGGAATATCGAGAACTATATATTTCTCGAAAACTGAAAACTTGAAAATCGAAAAGTTTTGGAAATTATCTTTGTGATTATGTGTAATTGCAGGTGGTTCTCGACATTTCTTCTGAGTACGAACTCGAGAATACATCTTTCTCGATATTTGAATTCGAGGAATTGTTTCTCGATATTTCAAATCTCGTAAATCAGTTCTCGATATTTGAACCTCGAAAAAGTCTTTTCGATGTTTAAATACCGAGAACCTACTTCTCGAAGTTTGAAATACCGAGAAGCAGTTCTCGATAGTTAAACATCGAGAAAGGAAATTCTCGAAGTTTAGATCTCGAGAAGGACTTTTCGATATTCTCACATCGAGAACCAAGTTCTCGATGTTTGAGTATCGAGAAGAGCTTCTCGGTATTTAAACCTCGAGAACCTACTTCTCGATATTCAAACCTCGAAAAGTTGGTTCTCGTGGTTTACACTCAGAAATTTTCTCGAGGTCCCACCTGTACACATCTGATCTGAAAAATTGCAAAAACAAAACACAAATAAAACTTTCATTTGAACAATGTGCTGACCCAATGTCTTCAGCTAATCATGTCAGGAACAGCCAAGAATACACAATCAAGCAATGAACTGTACCCAAAAGAGAACTGGGTCCCACTTTATGACAACAACTTTCAATTGGACCTGAAGCTCTTCAAATGTCAGGACCCAGTCATTCTCTCCATACTACAGAAACACTACCTTTGGACTGCATTCAACGAAGCTAAACCAGTACCAATGGTATACCTGCAGCAATTCTGGGGCTGTATGCGAACTGAAAGCAAGAAAGATCGGTCTAAGATCATGACCAAGCTGAATAATGTAAGAGCGGTGCTGACACCCTCTACAATAAGGGAGACTCTGAATGTGACACCGCACCCGAACGTCCTTGAAAACTCGATTTAAAAATTTATAAGTGATGTATTGAATTTCCGATTTCAAAACAATGGGAGAAACGATTAATATTTTACGAAGTACATGATTGAATATTGTATTGTTCAAACCCGCATTCTTTTGTAATTTTCATCATGTAAATTATTGGGAGGAGCCTACACATATTGGAGATCAATAATGTGATTTTGGAAGTTGACTTGTTCTAAATAAATTAGGATGAGTACAAAAAGACATCTTTGACAAAGATAAAACAATAGGACCCATCTTCCCATTTTTTTTGGAAGTATTGGTAGATATTTTGGACCCCAAATTGATTGGGATTAATTGGGGGGCATCCCATGTGGCTTGAGTACCTGCAAGACAAGGAAAATATGTGAGGAGACTCACCTTGGCCGCACCACATGGAGAAGCATTGCCCATGACACAATTGGGATCAAATTTTGGGGCCACCACCACTGTTTTCGCACAAACAGGTGTGCTGTTTTGTCTCCCTTCATTTTGAGAGTTGTACTCGTCCAAATGGGGTGTATAAGGTGTCTTTGGATAGCTTTTGAAGTCTATTTTCATATTTGAGTGGCCACAGTTCGAGAGGAGAGAGCAATCATCCAAAAATCGATCTGGAACGAGCAGAGGTCTGTGAACTCGAGCTGTGAGAGTGCTGAGACTGTTTGGTCGATATATCGAGTTTTACCAATCCAATTAAGGCGTGTGAGATACCAAAAGAAAGCTCTCAAGACGAGGAATCCGTGAAGGTCTGGTTTGCATCAATCGGAGTAGAGGAAGGCTTCCAAATCGTCCGAACAGAACGCGACCTCGCAGGAACGGATTTACTCTTCTAAGTGAGTTGTTAATCCCAAAACCTTTCCATTCATTTTCCAAATGATATGAACGATTGGTGGAACTATTATACACTACTCCAAGTGTATAATATGTCCCTATTAAGTTATTTTATTGATGTAAAGGTTAGATACTAACCTAGAACAAATCTTGGAAAACTAGGAAACGAGTTGGCCGGAAAACACCCATTCTAGGGGCTGTTTTCGTACCAACGTTTAGGGGTTGAGCTAGCACCTTGAAGAGGCTGTTTAACACTCATATTTGAGCAAGGAATCAGTTCCAAATCCACCTTGACCGAAGCTTTGACCATTGGACCAAGAAGGGAAAGTTTAAAGCTCAATTGAGGTGAGGATTGACATCTAATTGCTTACAACTTGTAGGTTAAGCATGAGATTACCTAAATGCTTAAATCATGATTTTTCATGGATTATGATGATTATATATTGATGAAATACTGATATAGTTGCCAAGAAATGAAATTTGAAATGATTTGAGAAGGTATGAATAATATGAGATTAAATGAGTATAAATGAACTATTTTATGAAAATGGGCATTTTGCTCATGTATGAATTATGTGGATACATAAATAAATATTTGTGTATTGAGATTGAATACTTAAGTTGCTGCTACATAATTATAAATATGTAGAGAATTACAAATAATGAGGATAATGGTATGATAACAATAATCTTAATAGTATTGAAATACTAGTTAGTGATTATTGGAACTTGTTGATTAAATTGATCCTAGGGATTGGATTGTATGAAAGGTACTTGAATATAGTTCAAGTGTATATAATAACTTAGTTTGGAACTAAGGTTAAGTTATGGGAAGTCTTTAAGGATGACCCAAAGTAGTTTAATGATATGTCAATTCTAGGCATAGGGTTGCTTGAGAATTGGACCTTAATGCATGGTGATGTAATAGAGCCGAGCTCTAGAATGCATGTAAGGTGTAGACTTGGAGTCTATGTATTGTATAGCTAGAGCCGAGCTCTAGGACTTGCGTGGTGATGTAATAGAGCCGAGCTCTAGAACGCAAGGTAAGGAAATTGACCCGAGGTATATGAATTGTATGGTGATGTAGTAGAGCCGAGCTCTAGAATACAATGTCATGTACTAGGGTTGGACTCTAGGAGTTGTCGTGGCTTATAGCCACGGGGTTGGGAATGGTGATTTCCAAATGAAAACGGGCCCACGGGCCGACTACTTGACTTTTATATAAAGTAAGTATATTTTTAAACGGGGTAACTTAGGGTTACAATCATAATGTACTATCACCCTATTTGAGGGTCTTGTGTTTGAAATACTTGTTGTATATCTATTAGATGCCTGCCACACCAGTACTTTATAGCCGTATAGAGTACTGACCCCTTCGGGGGCGTCCCACCACCATTTCAGGTTGAGGCTAGAGCTTGCATCCTGTGCTCGTTGATCGAGTGATTCCTCGGAGAGAAGACTTGGTTCGTGCTTCCTCCATTCTATTTGAAACATTAATAAATTTGCTCATGGATATTTTATTATAGAGCCTGCGTGCTCATGAATAGCCCTGTGTGGCCCTTTCGTTTTAAACAATGTTTTCCGCTGCTTTATGAATTACTTATTATGTTGTTTATGGATGACTTATGTGTGAATGATATTCATGACGCCTTGTATAATATGAATGTGTTGGATTGCGATTGACTATTCGTATTGTACGGCGGGTTGTTGACGTGTCCGGGGAGGTCCGGGGCGTGACAATTAAGTTGGTATCAGAGCCTTAGTCCATAAACTTCATAATGAAGTCTCAAAATTCTCTTTTTGAAAAGATTTTGAAAACCATGAGCATAGAAGTTTTGTACTTGGAGAGCTTTTGGTACTTGGGTTGCAAGGTCTCTAATTGTTAAGATGGTACCCTTAGCAATTGGTATGGCGGTGACTCGAGCCAAAATGTGTCTTAAGTACCTATCCGTCAATTGACATTTGATACGAGTCTAACGACTCTTTCCAAATTCTTTCAGAAATGGACCGTGGTGGCAGGATTACTAGGAGAAACCCGACCGGCCATGTACCAGTGGAGACTGGACAGGGCAGTCGAAGGACCTCTAGGGCATCTAGAGGAGCTAGCCGTGGAGGCCGATCACAGACCGTGAGTGACGGTCATGTCGACACGGAAAGTGAAACCTACTGGTCCTATGAGGACTCGACCTATCGACCGGAAACTGAACCGGTTGAGACCCCTTATGAAGGGGATGATGATGATGTAAGTGATGAGGAGGAAAATGGCTCCTTAGCACGGATTGAAGCACTACTTCAACAGTACCACCGTGAGCGTGAGGAGAGGAGGGAACGCCGAAGGCGCCGGGCTGGGCAGCCTTCGGGCGCGGCTTCAAGAGGGAGAAGCCATGGCGACTCTAGGGCCCACATTGAACCACATGGGGGTCGGGGTGATGGGGGTCCAATCATAAGGATCTCCAAATACATCAAAGAGGCACGAGACTTGGGGTGCAAACCGTTCGATGGGACGGGTGACATCTCCGTTTCGGCACAATGGATTAAACGGCTGAATGAGGCAGCCCTGGACATGCAACTCACCCCCGAATATAAACTAAGGGTTGCGGTGAGATTGCTTGAAGGTATGGCATCCAAGTGGTGGGATGGGACCAAAGGCAAATATGGCGAGACCGTCACTTGGGAGAATTTCCGACAGGAATTCTTTGCCCAATATTACTCGGATTTTGAGGTGAACAAGAAAGTGAGGGAATACACCCTTCTAACCCAAGGGGGTAACATGACGGTGAGGGAACTTGAGTACAAGTTCAGGGATCTTGCCGATTACATACCTGAGTATGCTTGTGACGAGAACCGGATGGTGAACCACTTCTGGGATGCTCTAGACTTGGAGATACGTGACAGGGCAACACAATTGCCTAACATGACGTTTGCCCAAGTGGTTGACCAAGGGTTGAAAGGAGAGAAGCAATGGGAAGAAAGGAAGAAGAGAGACGCCGAGGAGGCGAAAAAGAGAAAGTGGGAGAGTCATGGCTCCCAAGGTTCCAACAAAAAGGGGAACCACGGAGGAGGATCTTTCCGGGCACCACCGCCACCATATAGGGGGAACCAAGGCCCGAGTGGGCAAGGCGCGAGGTCACAAACCTCAGTGGTAGCTCGTTGCAACAATTGCAAGAAGAACCACTCCGGTAAATGTCGCGACCCCCCTAGATGTTTTCAATGCGGGGATGCCGGGCATTTGAAGGCGCATTGTCCACAATTGAGTGGGGCAAGGGCATCGGGACCGAGTAGCGGTCCGACGGGTACACGGAATCAAACCGGGGCTTCTCAAGCAAGCCGGGGACACGGGGGGGCAAGTACAAGCAACGCGCCATCCGTGAACCAAGGGAGGACCCAGGCTAGGGTCTATGCGATGACGGAGGCGGATGCTCAAGCTAACCCGGACTCCGTCGCAGGTATTGCCTCTCATATACTAGTGTTTTATCCTTAATTAGTCCATAAATTGAGGATACTAATCGCTAGGATCATTGCACGAGGTTTTGGGGTCGAACCGGGGGATTTCGGGCAACTTCAGGCGGCTGGGACCCAGGCACGATCGTGCCTAAGGCAGACACGATCGTGCCTCCAAGTCAGTAGCTGCCCAGGAAAATTCCCAACCCAGGCACGATCGTGCCTAAGGCAGACACGATCGTGCCTACAAGGCAGTAGCTGCCCAGGTGTTTCTTCAAACCAGGCACGATCGTGCCTAATCCAGACACGATCGTGCCTCCAAATCAGTGGCTCCCCAGGATTTCCCAACCCAGGCACGATCGTGCCTAAGGCAGACACGATCGTGCCTCCAAGGCAGTGGCACCCTGGGCGTTTCCCCAAGCCAGGCACGATCGTGCCTACCCCAGGCACGCCGTGCCTGGCACCCAGATTGCCGAAACCCGATTTTTTCGCATCGTTTTGCGACGTTAAGGCCTCTTCTTGATCCCTAACGTGCGTGTGAACATTGCAACCTTCTATAAATGAGTAGGGAGGGTAGGAAAGATGTCTTACATGGTTCATGAATGTAGGGACACTAAAGATTAACGGGAAGGATGCACGAATCCTTATCGATACCGGAGCGCAACGTTCATTCGTGAGTGAGGCGTTTGCCGAGAGCTTAGAGATGCAATCAATACCAATGACACAAACCTTAGTGGTATCAACCCCACTAGGGGAAGACGTTGAAAGAAACAATTACTATCCATCTTGTATGGTGGAAATCGGTGGCCAAACCTTGACGTGTGATTTTGTACCGCTGAGTATGATGGAGTTCGATGCAATCCTAGGGATGGATTGGCTAGAAAAGCATCATGCTAGGGTAGATTGCTACACAAAGGTGTTGGAACTCGAAGGCACACAGGGGGACACCCTACGCTTCGAGGGGGACCGCGGCAAATCAAATAGTTGTATCATATCCGCCGTGAGAGCGAGAAATATGATGAGGAAGGGATGCCACGCATATCTAGCATACGTGGTTGACAAAACCAAAGAGGAAACGAACGTCGATGATGTGAGGGTGGTTTGTAAGTATCCGGATGTCTTCCCTAAAGACCTACCGGGGCTTCCACCTGACAGAGAGATTGAATTTGTGATCGAGGTCGAGCCTGGTACCAAACCAATCTCCATACCGCCATACCGGATGGCACCCGCTGAACTTAACGAGTTGAAAACCCAATTGCAAGAGCTTTTGGATAACGGTTTCATTAGACCAAGCCACTCCCCGTGGGGAGCACCGGTTCTTTTTGTGAAAAAGAAAGATGGGACACTTCGAATGTGCATTGACTATCGTCAACTGAACAAGGTCACAATCAAGAATAGGTATCCGTTGCCTAGGATTGATGACTTGTTTGATCAACTACGAGGAGCAACCGTGTTTTCGAAGATTGACTTAAGGTCGGGGTACCATCAATTGAAGATTAAGGAAGATGACATACCAAAGAGTGCTTTCCGCACAAGGTATGGGCATTTTGAGTTCCTTGTTATGTCGTTTGGGTTAACAAACGCCCCGGCGGCATTCATGGACTTGATGAACCGAGTATTCCATAAATACTTGGATCGATTCGTGATTGTGTTCATAGATGACATCTTGATTTACTCAAAGAGTGAAGAAGAGCATGAGGAGCACTTGATACTTGTTCTTGAAACACTACGGGAGAAGCAACTCTATGCCAAATTTTCTAAATGTGAATTTTGGCTAAAGGAGATTGGCTTCCTCGGGCACGTGGTTTCAGGATCGGGGATTGCTGTTGATAACAAGAAGATAGAAGCCATTACTGAATGGGAGAGGCCAAAGAACGTCAAGGAAATTCGTAGTTTCCTTGGATTGGCAGGCTACTATAGAAAGTTCGTGGAGAAGTTCTCTGTTTTGGCATCGCCATTGACGAAGCTCACTCGTAAAGGAGCTAAGTTTGTATGGGATGACAAATGTGAGAAAGGGTTCATGGAACTAAAGAAGAGATTGACTGAGGCACCGGTACTTGCATTACCCAAACAAGGTGTGGGGTACGATGTCTATAGCGATGCGAGCATCCAAGGGCTCGGATGTGTACTGATGCAGAATGGGAGGGTAATCGCCTATGCTTCACGACAATTGAAGAAGCATGAGGTGAATTATCCTACTCATGATTTGGAGCTCGGGGCAGTGGTATTTGCACTGAAGATATGGAGACATTATCTCTACGGGGAGACATGTCATATATACACTGATCACAAGAGCTTGAAGTACGTGTTTACTCAGAAAGAGCTAAACATGAGACAGAGACGGTGGATGGAGCTGATAAAAGACTACCATCTAGTGATAGAGTATCACCCAGGCAAGGCAAACGTGGTGGCAGATGCTTTGAGCCGGAAGAGCTCGTCTGGGGCATTGATAACTAATTTGAGGGCATTAAGAGCCCAACTGGAGGTAACCAGCGATGGTGCCTTATTGGCACGATTTGAGGTGAGACCCACTTTACTTGATGAGATCAAGAAGGGTCAGGAAGCCGACGAAGAACTTATGAAGGTCCGGGAACGCATGCAAGCGGGGCCGGTGGAGGATGTCAGGGAAAGAGATGATGGTCTCTTGTTATTTCGTGACCGAGTGTGTGTACCGTCAGATGATGAGCTCCGAAAGTCCATCTTAGAGGAGGCTCATTCATCGGCTTATGCCATGCACCCGGGGGGCACGAAAATGTACCGTGATTTGAAGGAAAGTTACTGGTGGTCTGGAATGAAGAGGGAAATAGCCGAGTACATCAGTCGGTGCCTTACTTGTCAACAAGTTAAGGCAGAACATCAGCACCCAGCAGGCTTATTGCAACCACTCTCCATCCCTGAATGGAAGTGGGAGCACGTGACTATGGATTTCGTGGTAGGCTTACCACGGACTATCAGGAACTATGACGCGGTTTGGGTCGTTGTGGATAGGCTCACAAAGAGTGCACACTTCTTGCCTATCAACACTACCTACCCACTTGAGAGGTTAGCCAAATTGTATACGGATGAGATCGTGAGGCTGCATGGGGTCCCGGTGACCATTGTATCTGATAGAGACCCACGATTCACATCACGTTTTTGGCCGAAATTCCAGGAGTCTATGGGAACGAAGTTGAAGTTCAGCACTGCTTTCCATCCACAGACGGATGGGCAGTCTGAAAGGGTTATACAGATCCTAGAAGACATGTTGAGGGCTTGTGCATTGGAGTTCCAGGGGAGTTGGGACAACCACTTAGCACTTGTGGAGTTTGCCTATAACAACAGTTATCAGGCAAGCATTGGCATGCCTCCATACGAGGCATTGTATGGGAGGAGGTGCCGTACACCGTTATGCTGGGACGAGGTTGGCATGGCCAAACTCGAGGGTACTGAGTTGGTGGAGGTCACCAAATCAAAGGTGAAGTTAATTCGAGAGAGACTCAAGGCGGCTCAGGATAGACAAAAGAGTTATGCAGATAAGCGTCGAAGAACCTTAGAGTTTAAGGTTGATGACGAGGTATTCTTGAAAGTTTCTCCTTGGAAAGGGATCATTCGGTTCCAAACCCGAGGAAAACTTAACCCACGATATATAGGTCCATTCAGAATTATAGAGAGGATTGGGGCCGTTGCATATCGTCTACAGTTGACTCCTGAGTTAGAGAAGATACATAATGTGTTTCATGTATCCATGCTTAAGAAGTATGTGCATGATCCCTCTCACGTACTGGAGAAGCCACCTGTAGAGGTACGTGAGGATTTGAACTACGCTGTTCAACCTATCAAGGTCACCGATAGAAAGGTGAAGAAGCTGAGGAGCAAAGAAGTCCCAATGGTTAAAGTCCTGTGGAAGAGCGATCGGGTCGAGGAAGAGACATGGGAAACAGAGGCTTTGATGAGGAAGCAGTATGCTTTCCTATTCGAGTAGAGCTGTGAATTTCGGGGACGAAATTCCTGTTAAGGGGGGGTGAACTTGTGACACCGCACCCGAACGTCCTTGAAAACTCGATTTAAAAATTTATAAGTGATGTATTGAATTTCCGATTTCAAAACAATGGGAGAAACGATTAATATTTTACGAAGTACATGATTGAATATTGTATTGTTCAAACCCGCATTCTTTTGTAATTTTCATCATGTAAATTATTGGGAGGAGCCTACACATATTGGAGATCAATAATGTGATTTTGGAAGTTGACTTGTTCTAAATAAATTAGGATGAGTACAAAAAGACATCTTTGACAAAGATAAAACAATAGGACCCATCTTCCCATTTTTTTTGGAAGTATTGGTAGATATTTTGGACCCCAAATTGATTGGGATTAATTGGGGGGCATCCCATGTGGCTTGAGTACCTGCAAGACAAGGAAAATATGTGAGGAGACTCACCTTGGCCGCACCACATGGAGAAGCATTGCCCATGACACAATTGGGATCAAATTTTGGGGCCACCACCACTGTTTTCGCACAAACAGGTGTGCTGTTTTGTCTCCCTTCATTTTGAGAGTTGTACTCGTCCAAATGGGGTGTATAAGGTGTCTTTGGATAGCTTTTGAAGTCTATTTTCATATTTGAGTGGCCACAGTTCGAGAGGAGAGAGCAATCATCCAAAAATCGATCTGGAACGAGCAGAGGTCTGTGAACTCGAGCTGTGAGAGTGCTGAGACTGTTTGGTCGATATCTCGAGTTTTACCAATCCAATTAAGGCGTGTGAGATACCAAAAGAAAGCTCTCAAGACGAGGAATCCGTGAAGGTATGGTTTGCATCAATCGGAGTAGAGGAAGGCTTCCAAATCGTCCGAACAGAACGCGACCTCGCAGGAACGGATTTACTCTTCTAAGTGAGTTGTTAATCCCAAAATCTTTCCATTCATTTTCCAAATGATATGAACGATTGGTGGAACTATTATACACTACTCCAAGTGTATAATATGTCCCTATTAAGTTATTTTATTGATGTAAAGGTTAGATACTAACCTAGAACAAATCTTGGAAAACTAGGAAACGAGTTGGCCGGAAAACACCCATTCTAGGGGCTGTTTTCGTACCAACGTTTAGGGGTTGAGCTAGCACCTTGAAGAGGCTGTTTAACACTCATATTTGAGCAAGGAATCAGTTCCAAATCCACCTTGACCGAAGCTTTGACCATTGGACCAAGAAGGGAAAGTTTAAAGCTCAATTGAGGTGAGGATTGACATCTAATTGCTTACAACTTGTAGGTTAAGCATGAGATTACCTAAATGCTTAAATCATGATTTTTCATGGATTATGATGATTATATATTGATGAAATACTGATATAGTTGCCAAGAAATGAAATTTGAAATGATTTGAGAAGGTATGAATAATATGAGATTAAATGAGTATAAATGAACTATTTTATGAAAATGGGCATTTTGCTCATGTATGAATTATGTGGATACATAAATAAATATTTGTGTATTGAGATTGAATACTTAAGTTGCTGCTACATAATTATAAATATGTAGAGAATTACAAATAATGAGGATAATGGTATGATAACAATAATCTTAATAGTATTGAAATACTAGTTAGTGATTATTGGAACTTGTTGATTAAATTGATCCTAGGGATTGGATTGTATGAAAGGTACTTGAATATAGTTCAAGTGTATATAATAACTTAGTTTGGAACTAAGGTTAAGTTATGGGAAGTCTTTAAGGATGACCCAAAGTAGTTTAATGATATGTCAATTCTAGGCATAGGGTTGCTTGAGAATTGGACCTTAATGCATGGTGATGTAATAGAGCCGAGCTCTAGAATGCATGTAAGGTGTAGACTTGGAGTCTATGTATTGTATAGCTAGAGCCGAGCTCTAGGACTTGCGTGGTGATGTAATAGAGCCGAGCTCTAGAACGCAAGGTAAGGAAATTGACCCGAGGTATATGAATTGTATGGTGATGTAGTAGAGCCGAGCTCTAGAATACAATGTCATGTACTAGGGTTGGACTCTAGGAGTTGTCGTGGCTTATAGCCACGGGGTTGGGAATGGTGATTTCCAAATGAAAACGGGCCCACGGGCCGACTACTTGACTTTTATATAAAGTAAGTATATTTTTAAACGGGGTAACTTAGGGTTACAATCATAATGTACTATCACCCTATTTGAGGGTCTTGTGTTTGAAATACTTGTTGTATATCTATTAGATGCCTGCCACACCAGTACTTTATAGCCGTATAGAGTACTGACCCCTTCGGGGGCGTCCCACCACCATTTCAGGTTGAGGCTAGAGCTTGCATCCTGTGCTCGTTGATCGAGTGATTCCTCGGAGAGAAGACTTGGTTCGTGCTTCCTCCATTCTATTTGAAACATTAATAAATTTGCTCATGGATATTTTATTATAGAGCCTGCGTGCTCATGAATAGCCCTGTGTGGCCCTTTCGTTTTAAACAATGTTTTCCGCTGCTTTATGAATTACTTATTATGTTGTTTATGGATGACTTATGTGTGAATGATATTCATGACGCCTTGTATAATATGAATGTGTTGGATTGCGATTGACTATTCGTATTGTACGGCGGGTTGTTGACGTGTCCGGGGAGGTCCGGGGCGTGACACTGAATCTCCCGGTGCTCCAGAACTATGCACCGCTTCCCTCCAATGAAGATCTGATCACAGACATGAAGAAGCTGGGGTATGAAGGTCCGTTACCCCTGATCTCAAACTTCACCATCTCAAACCTGCCCCACCCGTGGAAGAGTCTGTTCGGCCTGGTGAACAAGTGTCTATCTCCTAAGCACGCCGGACATGACAAGTGCAACAAACAGATCCTACAAATCTTCCATGGGATCGCATATGACAAACAGTACGACATGGCCCAGCTCTTCTGGACAGAGCTGATGGACCAGGTCAAGATGAAGGAGAACAACAAGGGAAGCACAATTCCCTATGCTCGGTGGCTGGCGCTGATGATCCACAACATTATGGAGGCCACCCCGACAATGCCAAAGCGTAAGGAGGACAAGCACTTCACCGCTCCAAAGCTCAAGTACTTTCAGAGAGACAGCAACAAGGCTGAAGCACTGCCTATCCCGGACTCCTTGCTTGATCTAGCAAACCCGAGGGATAAGGCAGTCATCGACTACAAAGAGTCGCTGAAGAGAACGGTCCCTATGGTTCAGCAAAACCCAGCTGGACCTTCCCCGGGAACCAAGCCGAGAGCAAGTGAGGATAAAAAGAAGAGAGCCCCGCCACAGAAACCAGTGGCAACCCGGCCTGATGATGATCAGTCTGGTAACTCTTCCGAGAGGACCCAGACTGCTGAGGGCCAACCCGATGCTGAGGACACTGCCGATGAACCATCAAGCCAGGCCCCTTCTAATAAGGCTGGTGGTGAGGCCTCCGATAGCATGGCCTAAGGGAATGAACGAAGAGATGATGATGATGATGATGATGCAGATGATGATGATGACATGGAGGGAGTCCTGATCAGCAACAGGAAGAGAGCTGGTAAACAGGCCATTCCGATAGACTCCGACTCCTCATCAGAAGATATTGAGGCTGCACTCACACCCCGACCACTCAACGGGATCATCATTAGTGAGCAGCGCTCCAAGAAACGCAATGAAAAGCCTGCATCATCACAGCCTAAGAAGAGGCTCAGAAAGAAGAGTGCAGTGGAAGAGGAGCTGGCACTGTACGATGACTGTGACACCTTCGTCACTATAGACCGAACCACGCCCCTAGGAGCAGGAGCTGACCTTGTCAGTTCCCGGGTAGATGTCGCAGCATCCGGTTCAACTGCGCATGCACAACCATCTCCCATCCACTCTCCAGTCTCCCAACAGACTGGAGTTTCAATAACTCAAGGGGAACTTACACCGACCTCACTGATTCCTTCCGAATCTGCTGAGAGACTCAGTGGTCAACAGCCCCGGACCACTACCCCCATCCGTTCTATCACATCGAGTCTAGGTGTCACCATTCCCACATTTTTAAATTTTTCTAGGACACCTACACTATTCACTGCACATACAGGTGCACTCACCCTGAATGCAACGACCGGAGTGCAAACTATGATGGTCGGAAGTCCTGCTACGCCAACAATGCCTCGATCATTGAACGCAGGCCACACATCAGCTATCTTCACTGATGCTGTGACAACAGTTACAACCCCTGTAACTGGTACCATTATCCCCGAAGACATTCTCGTATATCTGAATAGCTTTCTAGAGTCTACCATTAAGCCATGGGTGCATGAAGCAATAACCGCTAATGCACAAGACTCTGGAAGTACCCCAGTTGTTCATGATATACCACCCAAGCCCCAAACCATACAGCCCCCAACTACTTTAATCCCAATTTCCCAACCTTTAACCCTAGGAAACCAACAACCATCCACTTCAAGGGGAACCCAGGATACAGAACTAGTATCCTCCCCTACAACGACCAAACCCAATCTCAAAACCATACCCTTCGAGGACCTTGTAGCTGAGGTCTTTGACCGTATACTAGACGTGGAAGAAGGCAACCTTACCCCTCTTCAAAAAGCCCTTCTCCATGCTCTAGATACACAGAACACATGCCGTGACAGTCTCCGTGGCGCTAAACGTTCACATGAGGATCCCGATGATTCGGATTCTCATGAGGGGGAGAACAAGCGCCAGCGGATACTTGAGCATGTTGCTTCTACTAGCCAACCCTCTAAGCCAAACCAACCCTCCACCTCTACCAATGAACAACCCACTACTTCAGCCAGCCATAAATCCCTAGCCACTCTCTCTAGCATGGTCGAGCTAGACATAACATCCCGAGGTGCATCTCCTATAGATGTTAACCAAGGACGGAATGGAAGTCCTGATGATGCTACCACGAGTACATCTTCCTACTCAGGCCATCAGCTAGAACCTAGTTCGAAACTGATGTCAACGGGCAATCCTGAGGATCCCGGTGTTTCACACGACGAGTCACCTTCGACACAGCAGCAAGCTCCCTCTGAACCCTCTGACAATCCAATACAAGATGAGCTTGAAAATCTTCTAGTTCATGATCAATGGCCCCGCAAATGGACAGAGTGGGATGACCTTAGAGTGGAAGCCGATCAGTACGAAATGTGTCGAAGCTGGCATCTCAGAGAGTTCCTCAATAAATACCATGCAATGATGATTGGACTCGATAAAGACGAACTCAAGGAAGGGGAGAATCAAAAAGAAAACCTCAAGGAACCAGAACCAGCTAAAGAAAAATGGGAAATCATAAGGATCAAAGCCCCCTTTCTTGAAGAAATTCGAGAGAAGATTTGGAGACAACCAGAAAAGGTCAAGCAGTTCAGTGAATTAAAAATGCGAGGAATCAATCACTTGAAAGGAAAATACAGAGAAGGAAATCTGTATATGCTAGGACATAGATCCACAGGGCAACGTCGACAAGTTCTAAATCACAATCTTGCAACAAGTGGATGTCCCATATTGAAAATCTTGGAGATCACAGAAGATTACCTGGAAACAATTAAGTTCATGATTTTTCGTCTACAACGTACTGATGGCTCGGAGTTCACCTGTCAAGAGAATGACTTCTTTCTACTGCACATGGATGACATTTATCAAATGTTCATGAGGTGCATGGAGCTTCCAGTTCACAAAGACAGACTCGCTAAAGAAGGCTTCGAGGCGATAAAAAGATTCATGACAAGACAAGTTCGGTTCTACGCCTCTCATGACCTCCAGATGACCATAGAGCACAACTATTCAAAGGTGAATCTTACTAGACCGGACTTGAGTAGACCTGGCCTTGAATCCTTTGAAGCATATCATATCTTTGACAATCCAGTATCAGTCATCTATCTGAATCATAACAACGAAAAGCGTCTAATGTTCGTGGATGAAATTAACAAGTATTGTGACGGAACGTTGAAGATCATCCAGGAGCAGCTCCGATCAAAGAAACAAGAACTTGGACAGAAATCGACTGAAGCCACTGAAGGAGACCAGAAGGAACTGCACAGAATTGACAACATCCTACAGGCCATCGAAAAGCAACTTGATAGAAGAAATTCACTCAGAAACTATGAGCACGCACTTAATCTCAGAAAGAATTATTATAAAGCTCAATAGTGAAGAGAAGAAGCAAGACGGCACTTGATCACAAAGGGGGAGATTGTTGAGGAAAATATTTGTTGTGATCAAGTTTGTCTAGAGTCTTGTTGTCCCAATTAGATTAGACTTATCTTTTTAGTATTTATGTAAAGAATAAATGAGCTAAGGGAATAGGGCCCAAAAAGGCCTTAGGCCCAGAACTCTAGGTTACCATTTCGGTACCTGTACCTACGCCTATAAATATGCGTACATGTGGTACAGGACCGAATAATCGAGAATAAGAAATATACAGCGCCTTTCATTCAGAACATTCAATATATAGTTCTCGATAGTATAGCGTAAGGATTTCTTCTGTTCAGATTATCTCTCGATCATTATTAAGAATCCTTCTCTATATTATTGTAGATCGTTCATAGCTGTTCATTCATTCTAAAATTTGGGACCAACAGTACCAATAGCATTTGTGTGTTTTTTTTATCGTAAATTGTTAGATATCCGAAAAGAATTCATTTATTGCGTGAAAGTAAAAAGTATTGATTCTCTTCATATTAAAATGAAACTATTTCTTTTTCTTTATGGTCCCATACTCCCATGCCACATTGGAGGAATAAATAAAAGTCAATGATCTAGCCGCTTTATAGGTGATATGTTAAGTAAGAGTATTACACCAATCCGTTTAACAAGTGTTACTAAAATGAAAATGGATTATTACTTTATACATGTATTACACTAAGAGTCTGTTTGGTACCATTGTTATTTGGTTTATCAGACTTATCAACCAACTTTTTCACCAAACGCATTACTTTTCATTTTACACGTTGAAATGTGTAATAATAAGAAAAAGTAAGGTTGAAGTTACTTTTAGGATTGTTTCGACTGGAGTTACTGTATAAGACTATTTTAGCTATACATACATACCCCATATTTTTTTCTTTATTTTATTAATAAAATACTACGAGTAGTATATTTTAAATTTAACTTTTTTCATAAATCAGCTGAATCAGTCAATATAGCCACTTAAAGCAAAACTTCATAAATTTCAGCAGAATCAGCAAATTCAGCCGATTTCAGTGTTAGCAAACGGTCTCTAAATATCTTATTTTAATTATTACACAATTTAGCATATAAAATCAAAAGTTAAAAATGGATTTACTAAGTGCGTTCTTAAATCCGATTAATCCGAACAAAAAAATATCGTCCCCGCAATTCATGATTGAGATTATATTGAAATAATACGCGAAGACGTCAAAACATTACTTTCCATTAGCAGAGTGGCACTTCCAAATAAGGAGATTAGCGTATGCCCCTAGCTCACTTCAAGGCGGATCTCAGCACATGGGAGTTGTTATCCAATCATGTATGACAGCTACTAAGGGCCCCACATGTAATTAGCCAAATTATTAAGAAAATCATATTGCATCGTTTCCATGTTGCTCTAATCCGCCAATCCGGTCCTGTCTATTTTTGAGCTTATATTCAAGTCAAATAATAAACAATATTTATTTAAAATAATAATTATAATAAAATTATCTAATAAAAGCTGGTCATTAAATAAAAATGAAAATCATTTTATTATTATTATTATTTAAATTACATATTTGGTGAAAAGTATCAACACAAGTATCACATAAAAAACATTACTTAAAAACGTTTCTCACGAAACATTCAAGATTCAATTTCTTAACAAAAATAAAATTTTTCAATGATCTCTGCTAACTTAACCCCGTCTTTTCTAATCTTCTTCTTTTTCTCTCTTTATCTCAATCTGATTCACCAATTTTATCAAGAATAATTTATTGATCACAGATGGATTGTTTGAAGCCTTGAAAGAAGAAGTTTTTTTATCACCGACTAGCGTTTGGGCTCCTCGATTGATTGGCTTCAATTATGAACAAACCGCTGATACACTCACCGCCTTGCACCGTTCTTTACTCTTGTTGATATTGGAATTTGGAAATAACAAATCAATTTGGATAGGTTTTGCGAATTGGGAGTTTTGGACTATGGATGCCTAACATAACTTGGTAATATTCTAATTAAAGGGATTATAGAACTTAGAGATCCAAAGAGAATTAAGAGAGGCATGCCACTTTACATTTATTTTAAAAATTAAACCTTGAGCCAATTAATTGAGCTTAAAATTTTAAAAATAAAAGCCTACTCACACTACATACAAAGAAATATTTCTGGGCCTATTTTTCTCGATATTTTCTTGGGCCGAGGGCGGTCGCCCTTGTTGCACCCCCTAGGGCCGCCCCTCTAATTAATGAACTTTTAGATTGATACTTATAAGTTACGTAGTATATATCTAGGGATGGATTGGGACGGGTTGGCCCGACCCGAGACCCGATCAGGTATTGTGCAGGCCTGGTTATCGGGACCGGATCCGACCCGGGGATGCAACAGGCGGGCTACGGGATCAAAATATGGTGAACCGGCCAGGCCGGGCCCAATGGTCATTTTTTTTTATTTACATTGGTTTTGGCCAATTGAACCTCCTAACCTTTGGCTATGGAGCCATTGGCAACGGCTATGGAGCCGTTGGAGGGGGTCTGGGGGGTGGAGGATTTAGGGGGTAAAAAAATCTATGAATACACTTATTTTTTAAACATTTTTCTACACATATTCTCCAATTTTTCCTACTCTCTATTCTCTAATACCCTTTAATCATCGTCAAATTCATCTTCATCTTCTCCAATTCTCTCTACACCTATTAATATATATTATATCTATTTAAATTAGTTATACAATTATTATATCTATACTTATATAGTAAGTATATATATTAAAGTATTAAATATAAGTGTACTACTCATCTTATAGTAGTATACTTATACATTATATACTATAAACATTATATTATATATTAGTTAGTTAAAGTATACTTTATAGTTTAACTAATATTCATTAATATTAGTTAAATTTATCCTATTAGTTACACTTCTGTTAATTAATATACATTAATTCATTTATCCTATTAGTTACACTTTAATTATACTCACAAATATCAATTTGTTACAAATTACCTACATCTTAGTTACACTAAACTAACATTTTCTTACATAAAGTGATATTTTAGTTGCATTTGTTACAAATATAATTACTTACATTTTAGTTACTCGAAATTAATACTAATATTTGTTACATTTTAAGATGGAACGAGGTAGACATTCTGTATTAACCGAAATGTAACTAAAATTGTGTTAACATGTTGAGTCTTCTTCTCAAAGCCGATATGATGGCGAAAGAAGGAGATTGCGAACAACCATCCTAATTCGCGAGGCAAAGGTAAAGGACATGTTGAGTCTTCTTCTCAGAGCTGATATGATTTTGAAACAAATAACGACCGGAGAGATGCGATGTCCGACGCGCAACAACAACTATTGGCCCAACGGGATGAGCGGATTTACCAACAACAACACATGCCCGAGGATGACGACGCCAAAGAGGAAGAGCCGACGACAGCCGAATGTTAGGAATTAATTAACGCAACACGAAGAACAATATAAAAACACACGAAATTTGGTAACCCAGTTCGTCACGAATGACTACGTCTGGGGGCTCTACCAAGCCTGGAATGTTATTAATATTTTCGGATCAAGGGATTACAAGGGAGAGAGCTTGTATTTATAGAGAGTAAAACTTAACATCTAAAATAACTAGGACGCGCGCGGGCCCACATCTGTACGGCTCAAAACTGTGCGGAACTGTATGGAAACTCGCGGCTCAAAACTCTACGGAATTGTATGGTTCAATGTTACTAATTTTGAGTATTATACAATTGAGTACGTAAAATCAAAATTTACATATTCGATAAAATTTTGATTGATAAGACATACAATTAAGTTGAAATTAAATAGGTGTTGCGCTATTAATATGTGTGATGGAGTATATGGCCCAAGAACCCCCGGCCCATAGACTCCTACTTCTGCTACACATATCCAATGGGCCCAGAGAACAACTCAGGCCCAAAAGCAACGGCCCAAGCCCCAAAATAGCCCGAAATACATACTGGGGTGCCTTCGGCCTCCTTGGCCGAAGGCTCCACAAACTCACGAAGTAGCCCTCTCTGACATACGAAGCCACTGGGAGAAAACGGCGAAAAACATGAGCCTTCGGCATTACCAAGCCCTCGGCATCAGGGGGAGCCTTCGGCTGAACTTAGCCCTCTGCCACTCGGGGCCTTCGGCTACACAGGGGTCCTTGGTTACACGGAGCCCTCAGCTACACAAGAAGCCTTCGGCCAAGCATGCTCAATCATCGAAGATTCCTTTTGGGGACAGCCAACCACCGCATTTAATGCCACGTCACATCCGCCAACCGCATTCAATGCGGTAAACGTACCACTGCCGGTGCCACCAGGCTGATGTGACCCTTCGGCCGTTGGATTACTGACACGTGTACTCTCATCGCATTTATTGCTGCTATAAATAGCAGCCCATTTCTCCTTGTAATCTACATCATCTACATCCCAACTCCACATCTGAGTTCATTTAATAAAATCGACTCTCTCTCCTCCTATTTTGCTCTGACTTCTCTCTAGTTATTCCCGCAATAACCCTTCGGATAAGATACCCCCCGGGTAGACTATCCATCATTTGGTGCTCTCGTTGAGAGGTCAGAACAAATCAAGTAAGAAGCCCTCCCTCTCTACCAAACACAAACCCTTACCAAAAATGGGAAGAACCACCCGTGCCCAATCCAAGACCCTTGAGGAAAACTACGTAGCCCCCGGCGAAACTAACGGGGCTGAGGCCTCCAACAGGCTCTTAGTACCCGAGGGTGGTGTCATCCTCGAGTTAGAGCAAGCCACCGCTGACCTACGCCAGCAGCTGCAGAAGAATACCCCTGATGCCCGCATTGGCCTTGATAATCGAAGGAGGGATCGGAGTGAGAACCAAGTTCCCCCTCCGGCCCCGGCCATCGATCTTCAAGCTGCCTTTGCGGCCTTTGTTCAAAACATGGCTCTCAATTCCGGAGCCCTCGCCTCTCAGGCACCCCTCCAGCCCTACGCTGGAGGAAATATCATTCAATTGCCACCACTCCCCCCTCTGTTCAACAATCCTCTCCCGGGGGTTGGAAACGCCGAAGGAGTCATGGCACAGGACACCGCCTCCCAAGAGGCCCAATCCAGGGATAAACGTCCCTTGATGAAGGAGAAACCCCGGACCTCTGCACTTGAGAGGCTTGGGGGAGCTCCCGTACGCCGAGGGGTCCAAGACCGCCTCGGCAAACAGGAATTCAGCAGGCCTCAGGAGAGCGGAGCCTCCGCTTCGGGAGCCGAGGGCATACCTCCACCCCGA